AACAAAATGTGACCCGATTTCAACGAAAATGATTCATTTATTGTAAAAGTACATATGACGTTTAGTGAAAAATCTGTACTTTAAAGAGGAAAATGGATATCATTTTCAGATTTAACATACAGGAATTACTGTATAACGTAAAAGTGTCAAGACAATAAAACCATTGCAGGCCTATGTAATTCATACTAGAACATAAACAGTTTTACTTTCTGTTTAAACAGTAGAATAATATAATTCGTAGTAGAAAATAAACAGTCTTCCTTGCTGGTTAAACAGTACACTTATACAATTCATAGTAGAACTTAAACAGTCTTACTTCCAGGTTAAACAGTGCAAGTACATAATCATAGTAGAACTTAAACAGTCTTACTTCCAGGTTAAACAGTGCAAGTACATAATTCATAGTAGAACATAAAGAGTCTTACTTCCTGGTTAAACAGTACAAGTATGTAAGACAGGCTTGCATATTTAATCTTCATAAAAGATGTTTTGGTTTTAATAACTGATTTTCCACAATTTGGCTATGGAGATTTCGAAAATAATATTCATTCTTTTCTGTCACGTAAGGATTTTTTACAAATCGGGAAGGAAAAACTCTTGCTTAGATCAAATTATTATTTCGTTTACCACAATGAAAATATTTTATTATTATGTGTTTCTCGTGGGTTGTAGGACAATCGATAAGACTGTCACGTCGCGATTGGTTAAGATAAATTAATAGCCAGTGATTGTCAACATTCTAAGCATAAAATGTGACCCGATTTCGATGAAAATGAAAGTGATTTACTTATGTAAAAGTACATATGACGTTTTGTGAAAATTCTGTACGTGATGGAGAAAAATTGATATTGTTATGACAACGCAGGTCACGTGATGCTTATATCACGCCACTTCCTTCTCGAACCTTCCTGACATGTCGGGAGATTACTAGATTGGGGAAGTCTTGTATATATAAGACCAGCCAAGAAACAACGCAAGGTAATGAGTAAATGAATGTATGCGGACAGAATATTGTTGAGCACGTGAGACGTTCCTTGTGAATTATAGCAGTTTGTTAAAGAGTGACTGTTAGGGTCGTGGGTTCGAATCCCAGTCCCATCAAACATGCTCGCCCTTTCAGCCGTGGGAGCGTTATAATGTGACGGTCAATCTCACTATTCGTTGGTAAAAGAGTAGCCCAAGAGTTGGCGGTGAGTGGTGATGACTAGTTGCCTTCCCTCTAGTCTTACACTGCTAAATTAGGGACGGCTAGCGCAAATAACCCTCGTGTAGATTTGCGCGAAATTCAAAACAAACAAACAAGTTTTTAGCAGTTTAACATTTAAGATCAGGAAAGAGTCCTCAAATGTTCATAGGATATTTTCTTCTTATATACTATCATGATATAAAAGACTGTTTAGTTTAGATATTACTGATTGATTTATTTTGTGAGAGAACATTTCATTATTCTTTAGTTTTTGTTATAATAAGAGTTAAAAGCAGTCATATAATAGCAAAAGAGTAAAGTTACAGGCAAGGAAGGTTCGGCGTGAAGTTAACTACCATAGAAGTGATAGGCCTAATGTTTAATACGTTAGAGTAAAACTAACAGTAGAAAAGGAGATAAGAACAATAATTTATTCCGTAAAAGCATGGTTCTAAAGTAATTGAATCAGCCTGAGTGCACTTTGACAAAAGGAACAGAGGATCTTCAGAAGAAAGACGACCAAATGATTACGGTAACTCGTGCCACAATTCTAAGTGAATCACACCCAGGATACTAGTGTGATTGTAATAGAGAAGATAGTTTGGCTTGTCAACTGAAATTCTAAAGTAATTGAATAGGCCTAAGTGGACTTTTGACAAGAAGAAGAGAACTGTACATATTGTTACGTCTCCGTTCGTTAGTTAATTTTCCGTAAAAATTCTTCCCGAAGAAACTTTACCGATACAAGTCCTTTCTTAAATAAAACTGGTTTATTCTTTCTGAATACAACTTTGCGATACACTTAATTTCCATACATAAGTGAATCCTAGTGAAAATATACTAGTTAATATTTCCCCATGGCATGAAAGGGTATGTTAATTAAAACTGTGGACAATGGACAAAATGTAACATAATGTGAGTAATGTAACAACAACGTAACAAGGGTTATTACCTATGATTAAGTAAGAGTGCAAACAAAATAACAATTCTAGAGAGGTCTACGCTGAACCTGACCCTCCCTGGTCCAAAACATGGACCGAATCTCGATGAAGATGACGATGATGAAAAGGTCAACGCTGGACCTGACCCTCCTTTGTCTAAAGCAAGGACCGAATCCCGATGAAGAAGCACGCTAATCATTTGGCCTCGCCTGGCTCTATTTATAGTTATGACAATTAATATCTGTAGTGACTGTTGTTCCGCAAAAACATTTTAGATAAAAGATAAGAAAGGGTAAATTAACACTCTAAGTAGAAACTGTGTAAAACGGTATTTACTGCCTGACGAAGAACGTCTACCAAAAACATCGCACAATATATAAGAGAATAAAATTTTTATTTAGACTTGCTAATTTATCCTTTATTACTTATTATCCTAATTAATATCTTTGCCAACTCTGATACACATTTTTTATAACAATAATAAAATATATAAAATCTTTAATAATGTATTTCAAAGTCTACTTGATTACAATTAATTTAAAAAACAGTTTGACTGTTTAATTTTTGATACATATTTATTATTACTTAAAGAGAACATTTCATGACAGTAATACCCGTAGCTTTTACAAGCTTGTACTCAAAACGTAGAGCAAAACATTAATATTTTGATTGGATATTGACATGTCACAAATGTCTTGGCAGTGAAAGAGAGAGAGGTTCTAGACGTTTGCAGTCATCTTTCGTTGGTTTATTTGTTTTGTTGAATTTCGCGCAAAGCTACTTGAGGTCTACCTGCGCTAACTGTTCCTAATTTAGAATTAATAGATTAGAGGAAAAGCAGCCAGTCAACATTCCCCTTTGTTAACTGTTGGGCCACTTTTTACCAACGAAAAATGAGATTGACCGTATAACGACTGAAAGAGCGAGCACGTTCTATAACAGGATACGAACCCGTAGATTGCGAGTCGACCGTCCTAATCACCAGGCCATTTTCGACCACATTATCCATTTTGTAATGTAAATCCGCTTTATATATCTCATGATAAATTAATAAAACATGTGTATGAAAGTGGATAACCTGTGATCGGGACATTTCGAAATTAACGCCAATTTTGATTCAAGATACATTTTTGATCTGTTTCAAGTATTAATTCAAGTTTACGGCTTTTGAAATGTATGATAATTAATATCTTTATGCTAGCATACTCAATTTCTATATTTAATGTTTGCTTGTTTTCTATAGGGAAAAAGCTGTCCAACTATGTACAAGGATCACTTCTATGAGGGTAGGTATGGCCAAGAGTACCGGTCTTCGGTGTAATTTCTGTATTCATTCTCTTAACTTTTCAATGGTTCCTTACACGCCTTGTTGAGACTACACCTTTCAATGATTTAAGAGCTACGGGAAAATCACGTTTTATTGACTCGAATGGATTTACTCCAACGGTTTTGCATTTTAATAAATAATGCGTTTGAAATTCTAGCATATGTTAAGTTATTCATAAGTTCTCCTTCTCTCTATTCTTCCTGTTGGAATTTTTAAAGAATTTCATTTTTAAAAATTAGAAACATGTATTGTCATATGCCAGAATTAATTATTTTGTATTTGAATCTATTCAAAGGAATGTTATATATTGTTACACAATTATCTTATTACTTGATTCATAATTCGCTGATTAAACTTTCTGGTTAACATTTTAAAGTTTAAATTAAGTTGGTTTCAAATCCATTTGTAAAATTTGTGTTTGTGATATTTTTCTTTAAAAGTTTATTTTTTTATTTATAAACTGGTTAATAATCATAAAAAGACCTAGCCTTTAATATTTAGTTTATAAAATATGTAATGGTCATTTATTACCAAGGAACTAAGAATTACCGCTATAGAAATGAGAAGAGCTACGAGAGACAGAGATCAGTGGAAAACAATGCTCACCAACGCCCTAGATGGGCATAGTACCTAGAGAAAGAGAGAGAGAGAGTGGTCATTTGCCTTTAATGAATGGATGTAATTTAAATGTCCAATCGTAATTCATCGCTTATCGAATAAGTGGATATAACGACTCACCTTTTCAAGGAAGAGGTCGTAACAACTCCATTCATTACTGTCAAACGAAGGGAGAAGATGAATCAAAACCCTTTATCTGGAAAAGCATAGGTCTTATTACTTGAATACTATAGTGAGAAGAAACATAACTGATCATCATTCTGCGTCTCTCAGTTGTAGAGCCGCTGTTATTGATTCATTTAGATCATAAGAATGTATAGGTTTTCAGAACTCAGATGGGAAAAGATAAGCTTGTTAGTGACTGACGGTTTCCTAAATCATCCAAAATTTGATAATTGTAATTTATGTGTTCCACTTTCAAGTTTCTAACTTTTTCACTCACTTGCTGTATAGTAATGTGATGAATGTTTGTTACATTTAATAGTTATGAAATGAGCAGTTTGCCTTATCTTGTTATTGTGAGATAAAACACCTTAATATATATATATATATGTATGTTATAATCAAAAATTATTCTTCTCATCTTAGTTTTAACTTTAATAATGAAGCATTACGCTCTTGTTATTTTTAGTTTGCTATATTAAAGAAATAATGAACATGTGTTGAAGTCTGTTGTTTTTTGTTTGTTTTTTTCATAGTCTTAGCCTTACTTTCAGCTAGAATTTAGCCACATTTGTCTCAATGTATCTTTGTTCTTTTTATCCACAGCCAACTCACCGTTATGGAATACAGGCTCTTGATTTCTTCAGGTTCAGAGCTTTGTTTGTGTAAAAAGTAGTGTGGTCAATGTGGAAAACACCAAAGCCTGGGCCCGCCTCATCATATCATTTTTCAAATTTGTGAATTATACACCTACGATTATAAAGAGGCTCTAGTCAACGATGTAGTGCTCTTTCCTTTACGTTCCTGGCTACAAAGTTCAATACCCAGCAATCTGTATACCAAACTATAATTAAATTGATCATTTACAGAGAATAAACCTTCATCACCAAATTCAATACTGGTGTTTCTGCAGAAAGTCGTCTTCAACATTATAATCTAACTTATTCTACACTTGTAATACTTGTACCTTAGAAATCTCATCCACGGAAGAAGATTTGGGTCTTTATCTTGGTAAGTCTATCTTGGAATAGCAGTTTAAGAACTCCAGAACAGCTAAAATTAAATTTACAAAATGTGGCCATCAAAAACTAATATTTCCTACTCTCCTGCTCTTATATAAATGATAACATACATAATCATAGAAGGTCGTGTGGCCGATTTAATAAAACAAGCAGCAAGTTCACCTTGCACTTGAACCCTTTCTTAGTTTACTAAAATATATTTTGTTTTATGATTTTATCGCCCTCTCGTGACTGGTTATTGAAATTTATGGAGTAAGAAATGTAAACTTCGAGAGCATATTTATAATAAAACAAAAATAGAGATATTTGTTGATAAATATGTAAGTGTATACGTCGTTTTAAATTTGTAAGTTAGTGTTATTAATTGAGTACAAAAGACATAACTCTGTATCTAAAACTAGGATCTGATCCAGAACTAGTTAAGCAATATTTAATTAAAAATTATTAAAGACAATGTTCAAATCTCGTACTAATAATTAAGATGAAGTCCCAGTGATCTTACTGAGTCAACTAGTGAAATGTAAGAAAAGTGATCAGGATGTTAATGAGTTAACGAATGAAACGTATAAAGTAATTAAAATGTTAAAGAGTCAACCGTTGAATAATATCATCAGGTTGCTAAGTTCTGCATTTTTATCTATGCCCCCCAGTGGCACAGCGGTATGTCTGCGGACTTACAACGCTAGAAACTGGGTTTCGATACTCGTGGTGGGCAGAGCACAGATAGCCCATGGTGCAGCTTTGTGCTTAATTACAAACAGTTTTTATCTATAAAAAAATGAATGTCGATTGTGGCACAATTCCATCAAAAAGAAATGTATGCTGTTGTGACAGGCAAAAAAAAATCTTGTTATTTCTTCTTATGTGATTTAAAACGTATATCCTTCTCCAACTAACTACAAGTACAAACATAATACAGTTATTTAATCCGGATGTGCATTTCGTTATTTACGACCACATTTTTTGGAAGACTTAATACATGTATATCAGATAACGAACAATATAAGAAATTTCTAAACCTTTTAGGTATTTAGAATAGAGATGATTCATGTATGCTTCCACAAAACTTTCCAGACGAAAAATAAACACGCCATTTCTACTTTTACAAATTAAATTTGCCTTTTTTTTTTTAGTCAAGCGTTGTTCTAATTCATATAATATCCTGCAGTAGTAATAGTTCGTTTTATATTAAATCTATTCGTTTTTATGGGATAAAAATAACTACGAAATGTGAACTATGGTATTTTTTCTTTTTTATTTACAGATAATAAAGCTTAAGCCTTTTACAAAGAAGGTGTGAATACTTCCATGAGAAGTTTCCAACAAAGTAAACGTATGGTTTTTCAACTGGCAGATTTCCGTCGTGTCAAGTTCTGTCTTGTTCCGTAATGACACGTGAAATACAGATATTGTTTGGATAAAGAATATCTTAAATACACATAAGAGGCGGACTACAAAGGATTTTCTCGCATTTGAATGTTTTTCAATATATTTCAAGTTTATATCACGTCACAAAATGAAAAAGCTTTATCATACACTGTGAACTTGTTTTTATCGGTGTTTAACCTCAACAAAAGTGTAGCCTATAGTTCTGTTGAAAATAGGAGGTTCATTTTTGACTTCACAATTCAATGAGCCATGAATAAACTGAAGTCGAAACCCTCAAGAAAATATTCAACACATTGACTCTTCGTCGGAGTTTCGTCCATTACTTAAAACAAGAGAAAGGATATTAACGTTTGACTCACAAGTTGTGCTTATTTGTTTTGTTGGAAAATAATAACATTGTATTATGTTATACCACGATCTTTGAGATCATTTTCTTGGTGAAATTTAGAACAGACATATAAAAAAAGTGTAAACTTCAATTCCTTAATGTCGTATTGCCTGGTCGGATGCTTTCCGACAGTATTTCAATGCGTAAAATTTTAATTCTTTTGCGTTGTTGTGTATTGAAATTATTGTAATTTTATGTTGATCGAAAATAAATCAACTAGAAGTTGTTATATATTTCTTTGAAGTCAAGTGCTTGTTAAGTTACAAGGTTTCATCCTGTTTGAAGACTTATGAAATATATTTCATTCCGAAAATTCTAAAGTTCATGGGTGAACCAGCATTCATAAGTATGATCTTTACTGAAGTAAACAGCATTCTCAGGCAATTCAAACAGAACTTTCATAAACAGACTATTTGGTCGATATTTGAGTCTTGCAATCACGAGGCCAGGTGGTTAGGGAGCTCGACTCGCAATCTGAAGACTCAAATTGTAAGAGTCAAAACTTAAAATTAGAACAAAAATACATAATTATCGATTGAAAGTATGCCCCATATAATCCTAATCCAATTCTTTGATATTTCTTAGTTCTTTTGATGCTGTTATTATTACTGTGTTTGTTAAACTTGGCACAAATTTTAAAGGTGAAAGCTTAAGCACGTAAATCCAAGCCCTAAGTACCTTTCCCCTCTAAACATCATAAATTAGAACCTTACAGACGAAACACTAGATCCTAGACACAAACGTAGCTCTATTTTAAAATGGTTTTGTATGTAAAAATAGAATTATGTGTGTCTGTATATGACTGCTAAGTGGAACTGTATTGTGAACACGGACTAATAGTGCGATACATTTCAGTCAATTCTCTGGACTTTTACGTTTCACAGAATTATTAACAAATGGTTTCACTAGATCTGGAGATACTCCACCTATCAAACAAATTCTGAAACGTTTACCCTTCAGCAGGTTCTCCAGAAACTTTTCAATTTTTGTAGCGAACAACAACAACAAAAATGCATCTATCTCTCTATCTATGTACAACCATTCTGATTTAATTACAATAATTACAGCAACTTATGAATTATCGTTAGAAAGATAATGTTCCCTGTAAATGTTTTTAGAAGTCATTGGTCTAAACGTTGTTTGGTTCTATATTGCATCACGGGTTTCAAACCACCGTTTTATAGGCCTAACGTTCTTATCCCTAGGATGTTATAACTTTTACGTTTATATAAAGCTTGTCTCAGGCATTTGAAACATTAAATCAATTGGTTTTCAATAAATAATTCACTATTTCAGAAGATTTATTTTAAAACCTCGAGTAACAAATTACTGATTTCATGGTATCCATCTAAGAGTTTCATGTAATTCTTCTATTTTTAAGTTTTCTTTCTTTAGTCAGTAGTTTCTTCTAATCCAGTACCGGCCCGGCATGGCCAGATGGTTAGGGCGCTTGACCCCGTCCCATTATTGGTTGGCAAAGGGGTAGCCCAAGAGTTGGCGGTAGGTGGAGATGACTAGCTGCCTTCTTTCTACTCTTTCACTACTAAATTATGGATAACTAGCGCAGATAGCCCTCGTGTAGCTTTGCGCAAAATTCGAACCCTGATCCAGTAGAGCGTTATGTTTTATTGTTGACTTTTTGTGGATATTGATTGAAAGTTTGTATGCTTTGTAACAAACACAATGCCGATTTCGACCGTTTCGCATTTGAAATTCACGAGATAATAGAAAAAACAAAAGTTCAAAGAGTGAGAAGAAAACGTCATTTAAACTATGGTTGCCTAACTTTGTTGGAAAGTGGGGGGAGGGGCAGAAATAATTAAGATAATTTAACATAGTTGTTGGTAATGGTTTACGTACGCTCTGTGTGTTAGGCCCCTGTAATCTAAACAGTAATCAAACATAAACGTGCCATACAGACAGTCATTCAGAAACATTCCTTTTTTTTTGTTATTAACCCAAATATTCTAAAAACGAAAAACCTCAATGAATTTTGATTCTGTGCTGTTAAAACCTCAATCTACATCTATTTTCTTCAGCTACGAAGAACAGGGATTTTTATTTTCTGACATTAAAAAATTCTAATAAGAGTTATCAGGATGGAAAACGTTAAAAGAAATTGAAAATAATGTCAATATATAGATTTCCTGTCATCATAATTTGACGGTAATGATATATTTTTACTAAAGTAAAAATTTCCTGAACACGAAACGTTTGTTTTTCAAAAATGTTTCTTTATAATTCATTAGTATTGTTACGTCTCCGTTTGTTAATTAACTTTTCGTAACTTCGTTCCGACGAAACTTTAGTGACACGAGTCCTTACTTAATAAAACTGGTTTATTCTTTCTGAATATAACTTTATGATACACTTGATTCCAACATTCGCGCTAAAACAAACGCTATAACGAACT